TAACCCCTATGTTGAATGAAAAAGAAAACCTTGTCTCAGATTTGAGTAAATATGATAGTACACTACTGGTTACTACAGCACTTGCCACGAAGCAAGAAAACCAAGTTAAATGACCTTGTTCAGCATGAAGGGACACAAATCTTTACCTCTTACATCGCAGGAAAGTTTCTTAACCTTTTGACTACAGAATAGGCTGGATGGAGAAGGAGGCAATCTCCATTCCTGATGTTGAACTTGGTCTAATCACAAGCTGCTTTAATCACAAATATTTTACATATTAGATGGGCACCACCACCTTCTCTTTTGACTGTGTTATACAATAAAATAGGGAGCTTCTCTCAGCTTTTTTGCTATGTTTTGTTTTTGTTTATTTTGGCTAAAAATATTCACAAACCAGTTTTTGGAAAAAATGACCTGAGATTCCCAGACTCACTTGCAGGGGAATGTAGAAAATGTTGGGAATTTTACCACAAAGCTATTTCACTGAGTGGTTATACCTATAAGGATGTGAGTTCAAGCCTTGTTCTGAATTTAAGTAAAGTTTATTTCCAGTTGCTGTCAAATGTCAGGTTTAAATGGATAATTAATCTTTTAGACTGAGGCAAAGATGACTGGATGTGATTGAGCCACATCACACACTAGAATGTGGTCGACTAAGCTTGGCTTAGCCACAACACTGATATGCCACTTTCACCTAGGTGAACTTCTAACTCCTGGGCTTTGTCTAATGATTTGATCTACTGTGCCCAACATGCATCTAATAAATCTGAAGTTTCATTTTCTCAGAAAAGATATAGAAGCTTCTAGTTGCTGCAAAGATGTAGGAACAATATCTCACTATCACTCCAACACTGCCTGGCCTTCTTTTCTGAGCCTCTCTTGCAAGGCAAAGAAATTCCTATCGTTTCCTCTACTGTCATATGTAGCTTTCCTAAGCAACAGCAGCAGTAATATAAAACTGCCAAGTTTCTTGACAATTTCCCACAGAGTTCTGAATATCAGCTGCAAAATTGATCAGAATCTTGTTAGTATCAGTTAGCTTCTGCTGATCAAAGCAATGAGTAGTTGTAAATGCAATGGTTTCGTCTGTCTGCAGACAAGGAAGACAGTACCACGCTGTTTTAACATTCTGTTAAATTGTTAAGATTTAGAAGTTATCTTCATATTCTGGTACCATGACAGCTAAAACCTTAAGTTATTTATGCCTACCAGGCAATGCTTCCTACTTGCTGTAAATTGAACAAATATTTCAAGCCCTGCTAAAACTCTTCAATTTCTGGACTAAATTAAGCATCATTTATATACCCCTGGATATACAAATGCATGCAAATATCTATGTGAATTTAATTTGTCTGGAAAGGAGAAAAGGCTTTTAAAAATTAATCCTTAAACTGACTGAAGTGGTTATAGTCTGTTGTGCACATCTCTAGAATTAAACAAGTAGTAAGATAAACCCCTCTCCTTTTTGTCTACCAAGGTCAAATATACGTACTTTGTTTTTATTAATAAAGAAAAGTTGTTTTAAAAAGACTTTACAAGAAGTGGATATATTTCAGTGTATTCAGACTGTGGGGAAATACAATGGGAAATAACTTTGACTGATGAGCTACTAATAATTAATAGAAGGAATGAAGTTACCATAATAAGCGGAAACAAAATGTGTTATTAATTGAAGCAGATTTTAGATGATAAAGATGCAGTATGTAGACTAAATAGAAATAATGTTACCTGGCATCTACAACCCCATGTGTCTGCTGAAGGCTAAAAGAGTGTCATTTTGGGAGCTTTGCTTGGGGGTTTTTGGTATGAAAACAGGATAGGGAGATTGTTTAGAACAGACTACTGTGGCAGGGCACATGGGATACCTGCCATTTCAAGAGGTCAGGCAGTCTATGAAGATGCTGGCAGGTGCAGACCAGGGCTAATTGGTGGTCAGCTGACCCAGGGAGCCAGAAGGTGAGACTAAGCCTGATAGAGGGAGTCATCTGACTCATGCTGGGCTTAGAGCAGGCATAAGCCCAGGCCCTGAGAGAAGCCAGCAGTAAATTTGGAGCCTGTTGAGAAAATGCCACCTCCACAGGCGGGCTGCAGCTCCACAAGGTCAGCTTGGAGAGTACAGAAGCGGTGTGGAGGTGCGCGGAGGAATTAAGGGGAGGAGGAGGTTCTTAGAGACCCAGGGAGGGGCCTGGAGCCCAGAGCGAGAGGCTGAGAGGGTAGGACCAGTGAGGGTCCAGGAACTTCAAAGGAGGGATAAGTGAAGAAAATATCAGTCAGGACGCATTTGTGAGGCATGGGGCATGGTATAGGGAAGGAATGGAGCCATGCAATTAGCCCATACAGCAGTGACCACAGGCACCTGGGCTTCTTGCAGATATTGAAAAAGAAAAAAAAAAGTGCTTTACCGGAAGAGGCAGCACATTACTTCAAACTGGATCTGTAGCATCTGCATAGATTGGGCATTTCAGCAGGGCTTTTTGGCATTTTTAGCTAAAGCTCTTAATCAGCTATTAAATAAAAGCCCCACTAAAGCACCCAATCTCTATAGATGTTAGGCAAGCTGGGGCTAACTGATGTGCTGCCTCTTGTGGGCATGTACTAGGCTCAGCGTGGGAGCATGGCCTGTTTAAAGTACCTTTTGTTTTTAACATCTGCAAGTAGCTCTGGTGATCATTTGAAAGAGCAATTTGGGAAGTCCCAGGCAGCCTCTCTCATAAAAGTATATGATATCAGGACAGGACGGACAACTGAAGGGTGACTGCCCAGAAATTAAGGGCTGCAGGGACTCCAGGGGCTTCACGGCTACCCCTGGAAGTTTACCCTGCCACTTCTACATCAGTGAATCTCAGACTGCTGTGAGATTCTTTCAAGGGTGATGCAGGATGCCATACAATATTAGTACTGTTAGTTGTGCACATGATTCACATGATAGACCCAGTGGGCGTTTATACACATGCTCTGGGAGGCGGGGGTTGGGGGTGCTTTAATTATAGTTGGTCTAATTAAAGCATCAGGAGCATCATGTTTATCAGCATCCCTGCACTGAAAAATGGCAGCAGGGACACTTTAATTAAAGCTTATCGAATGAGCTTTAGTTAAAGCATGCCCAACTGTCATTTTTCAGCACAGGGATGCTGATACACATGACAGTGGATTCTGCTGGAGCATGGTAGTTACCACATTCCAGCACAGGTACTATGGATTATGATGTGCTGGAATCACAGCGTGTCAGAGCAGCCTCAATGTATGTGGATAGGTGCCCAGTGATTTCAAACAGGAATCCATAGTACCTACTGAAAACACTCTGACCTGTTGTGGTCTTTCTGAGCTCCTTCTAACAAAAGGCTTACTCCATTGTTTTCCCATTGTAAAAGAAAAAGAAAAAAAAGAGTAGAAGCTAAGAGCTGTCACTTTCAGAGGGGTCCTAAGGGCTAACAAGGGGTGCCTTGGGTCTAAAAAAGGTTGATAATCATTGGTCTAGATATGATAGAATACAATCTAATCATGTAACAAAGTATACCATAAAAAATAAGACCTTAAAAGTGAGATTAAAGCAGTGGTAGAAAGTTTAATAGTTGCCAAAGTTGAGGAAACGGAGACAAGCAGGATGTGAAATCCCTCCAACTTTTCCAATATGTTGTTCTGGTACATTAAAAAGATTTATACATTTACATTCACTATGAATGACCTTAATGAAACTAACATGCATTCAATTAAGTGCCCATATTTGCAGGAGTGTAAGCCTACATTTTTACATTTTTACATGCAGTCTAAAGGAGGGCTTTTGGACATTGCCATCTGGTAAGTGTTTACTACTTATGTATTCTAAAATTCTATTATTAAGCCATTTCAAAATGAAGGAAACCCACAGATGGCTGAAACCTTTCTTTCTTTTCATGTTGCTTTGTTGGATCTAATCTAATACCTGCTTAAGCCAAAAGGACATCTTTTAAACAGTTGAAGCATATCATTTGAGGCTTTACAGAATGGTAATTTATGATCAAAATATAATAATGTATTTTTTATTAATGTTGCCACTTATATTTTTAAGAGTTAAATGTAAAAATGAAATCTAATTATGGAAAGCAGTTTTTTCCTTCCAAAAGCTGAATTTGTCTGATTTAACTGTAAATATTAAATCACATACATTGTGTTCTTAGTACTATATAATAAAACGTTAGTGCTAGGAAGAGCTTTGCTTTTAATTACTGTTGGCTGTAAGATTATTTAGGACCTCTAGAAAGGGAAAATGTTACTTATCAGGTATTTTCTAGAACAAAACGTTTTTGTTTATATTTAAAATAGACTTGCTCATGCTTATTTGTCAATATTTGCTGTATATAGTGAATTCCAGAGACCTGTGAGAGAAGCCTCTAGCATTTCTTTTTCTTTTCCCCAGGAATACAAATATAAATTTAAAAAGAGAAAAAAAAGAAGACTGTTATATACACCTTGAATTGTACCCACAAGCAAACAAAAAGCCAGTCCAGAGATTTGAGCACAGATGTTGTGTACTTGTAATAGCTCATTCCACTTGCAAACTGAGCAGCTGCATTCTGCACTAGCAGAAGCTTTGATTTTTATTTATTAAATTTGATGGGAGCAATCAATTAAAACAATTATAGCAAAAAAGCTTCATTACAAACACAGGGCCCAATTCTGGACTCTTTACTGATGGCAGCCATCCCAAGATCTTCAGTGGAAGTGTTTCTCTAGGGATTATTAATGAAAGTAAAGATTACTGGATCCACCCCTAGGTCATCTTCATCCCAAAAGCTATTAGCTGGAGAATTACATCCATTTTCAATGTACTATTCACAAATACTGTGCGAGCTATTTTTGGAAGTTATTATTAAAAATTGTATTTTTCATTATCTTCATGGTTATTTAGTGATGTTCAACTGTTTCTTTCCCTCACCTTTTCCTAGGGGTTTGCTAAAAATACATTGGGTTAGCTATGTTAACTAAAAATACACACTTAGTACCATTACAACATTATTCACCTGAGGCTCTGAAGCATGATCTACTGTACATCTCCTGTCCCCTGTCTCTCTGGTCACCACTGGCCCTGCCCAGGCCTTGGGAGTCACCTGGGTGCCAGAGACAGATTTTTGCCATATGATTTGACATTTTTCATAATCGCACTGAACAGCAACTTGAGAAGAAAACATTTTTGTGCCATGCTTTTGCACGGTACGATCGAGTGCATGCCCTGTGGATACCCTGGCCCTCCGACGCAACCTGAATGGCCGACGCAAAACAACATCGTGCCACAACGGCGCCGACCTGATGCATTACGAAGCTCAGGAGCAAACCCTCTGGAGGGGACATCTCCTCCTTCACATGGGCTTTTCCCAAGGCCTGGAGGCTCTATCAGTGACCGCCGACCTCCACAGACAGACCTGCCAATCCCACACAACTTTGTGTCAGGCACTGTCCCCAACGCTCTCTCAATACGTCTTTCATGGGCACATGAAACTAAACCAGAAGTGCTCAAACTCCTTGGCCTGCGGGCCGCATCTGACCATGGGGCAACCCTTTGGAAGCCCCAGTGAACACTGCCATTGCTCTCCCACTGCCCAACCTCTGGTCCCGTGGGGAGCATGTTGGCAGGAGGCAGAACCTGATGGGCACACCGCACAGTCGGGCAGGTGAGCAACGTACCACACTGTTCTTCATCATGGCCTTGACAGTGAAGCCATCGCTGACCTGTGGCTTGGCTTTCTTGGCAGGCCCCAGTGGCAGCTGCTGTTGCGGGGGGAGGTGCCATGCTGGCTTCAGGGCACAGGCGCCCTGCTGCTCCACCACCATCTCGCCCCACACCTTCCTAAAAGAAATAAAAGGAAAATAGGGATGAAAAAGGAACCTGGGCAAGGGTTACATTCATTGCATTTGGAATAAATCTAAGTAATTGTACATTAAATGAACAAAACAGGGATGAGAAACATTTCAGCCAGATGCAAAAAGAAGTCAAGCCCCCCCACCACAATGGGATGTCCCTCCTACCCCACCCCACTCCAGAATGGGACGCTTCTCCCTCTTCCTCCCCCCGCCCCATAATTGGATGCTTTGCCCCCCTCTCTCCCTGCCACCCCCACAATGGGATGGTCCACCCTCTTCAAGAATGGGATGTCCCCCCCCGCCCCACAATGGGATGCTCCCCCCCGCCTCACCCCGCGGGGGCTCGCGGCAGGGGCGGCTGCGCGCGGGGCAGACGCTATAACCGAGTCCGTCGCCAGCGCGCGCGCGCTTCCAGGGACGCGTCCCGGTTGCTAGGGAACGCGTAAACAACCTGCAGGCTGGCCGCGCGCGATCACGTGCGGCGGCCGAGGGAAAGGGGGGGAGTGGAGGTGTCAATTCGCGTCGATCACGTGACACTCCCGTGAGAACTACGCTCCCCAGCGTACTTTGCGCGCCCTCCCTTTCCCAACCGCCCCCTGAAGTAGCAGCAGCACCAGCAACGACTCCGACTGCGCAGGCGTACTGTGACTCAGCGGCCGGCAGGGCGGAGGGCGAGGCTTTGTGCAGCGCGGCCCCTCCCCCCCGCCCCTCACTGCGCCGGGGCTATGATCGGTGAGTGAGTGAGTCCCGGATGTAGCGCCCCCTTTTTTTTCTGCCCCCTGTCCCCAACAGCCACCACGACGCAGCGCGGGGCGGAGCCTGTGACGTACCCCCCTCCGTCATGCACTGAACACGCCCCTCCACTGACCTTCAGTGTGCCCTTCCCCCCTCATGCCCTTGGGGTCACGTGGGCCCCTGTTTGTGCTCACCCGTAGCCCAGCCCCACCTCTGGGAGTCACCAGGGTGCTACTCCTGGCACCCTGGCTCCCTGAAGCAGGTGGCCTGTGCCATGGCCCTCTGCCATGAGAGAGGAAGGGGTTGGCTGAGCAAGGGGAAGTGTAAGATGCCCCAGGCATTAGGTACAGCTCTGAGCCCAAGCTGGAGGTGAAGGCCTCAGGGTTCCCAACCCTCCAGGATTTCCGTGGAGTCTCCAGGAATTGGATATACATTTCCACAAGACTGCTTTGAGCACCCCACAGAGATCAATGATAGGGTGCTCATTCAAATAAATAGGAAATGTTGAGTCTGATTTACGCAGTAGTCTAGCGGGTCTTTCATATGTAACAGTAACGTGTGTTGGTCTTCCTGGCCTGAAGTCTACACACCGTAATCCATAACTGATGCATGCAGGCATGTTCATGCTGTGTGTCATTACGTCATGGGATGAAGCCTCTCAGATTCAAACAGAGTTGGCAACCTTAGACGGTCCCAATATCTTTCTCTTGACCCTGGGGTCAAGTCGTGAAGACCCAAACTTCTCCCCCATCCTTTTTTTCAGATTAGGGTTAACCCCCTCCAACCACAGTGCTGGCACAGTCTCTTCTAATTAACTGCCCCCAGCTTTGCTGCAGTGCATGGTTATAAATACTGGTGACAGCCATTGGGGCCATCTTGATCTTCCCTTGCTCTGGTGTTACTCAGGGTTCAAATTACATCAAATTTGATTCCTCCAGGGTTTTGAAAAAGCAGTTGGGCTACCCACAGTGCCATATTAATGCATAGGCAAACCAGGCACTTGCCTAGGGCTCTAAGTGAAGAAGGGGCCCGGTTGTGCTTATTTTACATTATAATTACTGAGTGAAAAAAAGTAGGGGCCCACGAGTTTGTTTGCCTAGGGCCCACTAAAGGGTTAATCCAGCCCTGGCTGCCCATCACTATGCTCTAATAAAATTGGAGACTCCCCCTCTATGCGGCACTGGTCAGGC